GGAGCAACAGAGACAAGAGCTGGAGGTGCAGAAGCTCAAGGAACAAGAAGAGCAACAGAGACAAGAGCTGGAGGTGCAGAAGCTCAAGGAACAGGAGGAGCAACAGAGACGAGAGCTGGAGGTGCAGAAGCTCAAGGAACAGGAGGAGCAGCAGAGACAAGAGCTGGAGGTGCAGAAGCTCAAGGAACAGGAGGAGCAGCAGAAACAAGAGCTAGATGAACAGAAGCACCGGGAACAGCAGGAGCAGACACAAAAGGAATTGGAGGAGCAGAGGCATCAAGAATGGGAAGAGCAGAAGTGCAAAGAGCTGGAGGAAAAACAGAGACGAAAGCTGAAGGAGCAGAAGAGGCTAGCACTGGATGAATTAAGGCAACAGAGCACTGAAAAAGAGTGTCAAGAGGAAGAAGAAAGAAATTGTCCGGAGGAACCAAAAGTACTCAAGGAACAAAATAAGGAAGAAATACCGAGACATGACCTAGAAGAGAAAAAGCTTCAAGATACTGAAATAAAACTGAAGGATAAAGAACCTGAGAGCCTCAAGCAAGAGAAGAAACAGGAGAAACAAAGGCATTTGAAGGAGAAAGAAGAAAAGACAGAGAAGGAACAACCCCAGCAAGTAATAGATAAGAAAAAGAAACGGGAAGAGCAGAGGAAACACAAGCTCACAAAACAAATGCACATGGAAAGTTCAGAGGGTGTGCTACAAGACGAAATAAAGCAGCAGAAGGAACAAAATGGACAAGAATGGAACAAGCTGAAAGAGCAGAAAGTAGACACAGAAGGACAAAATCTCCAGCAAACCCAAGAAATATCCTTGGAACAGCCACAAGACAAGGATCAGTTGTGTTCCGGAGGGGCTGATAAGCATCCAATAGAGGAGAAGCTCCAAGAAGGATCAAGAGCCCAAAATCTCAAACAGCCAGAAAAAGGGAACAAAACAGCAGAAGAAATACTAGCCCAGAAACTGAAGAGAGATGTTGAGGCTCAGGAGCAAAAGCGCATAGGGGAGGAACTTCGGTGGCAAGAGGTAGATGAAAGACAAACTGCGTCCAGACCCTTCACATTTCAAGTGTCTTCTGGAGATAAACAGATCATATTTCAGAAAGTAAATTTGAGTCCTGTCACGCCCGCCAAAGCAACAGGACCCTCTTCTCCATCTGTCAAAGACTGCAGGGTGCACACGATCAGTAAGGGCTCTCATACCCTCCCGTCATCTGCGTGTGTACCACACACAGCTATTTTGGTTACTGGAGCACAGCTGTGTGGCACAGCAGTTAACCTGAACCAGATTAAGGACACGGCTTGCAAATCATTACTTGGCTTAAC